GAGCCCCTGCCACTGTCCCTACAGGGGAGAGAGGAACAAGGGTGCTGCTGCTGGGGGCTGCAAGATGCCGCACCATGCCATGCAGGAGGAGGCTGGGCTGGTTAAATTGATGTTTGATCCCTTGCGGGACATGTAGGACAGGCTGCATGGGGTGCAGGGAAGAGCTCATGTCAGAGTTGTCACAATTAAGGCTCGTAAAATTCATTTGAAGTCTTTTTTTCCTAAACCAGTTTTGAGAACTACTGAGATGGGGATCTACCAATTCAGATGAAAGTGAGCTCAAACCAAAGGCAGTCTCTGCAGGGCAGGAGGCGGCAGGCGCCTCTTCCCTGGTCCCCCCCACTGTCACAGCTTGAGGGATTGCACAGAGATTTCTACCTGCTGGCATGTGACCAGACCTGACACGGAGACTCGCAGCAGCATCCTGTACGGCACCGTGGCTGCAGCGAGAGATGCTCAGCCAGGCCAGACCCCATTGAGCACAGCACCAGGGGTGCTGTGCAACCGGGGGCACAACTCCCGTGAGCCCCAGGGAGCCACCAGCCTCTGCAGCTCCAACACAACCCCCTGGGAAAGCACCGCGGGGGGAAAACACCAAGCACACCCCACATCCCCTGCTCCTGCAGCCCCCTCAGGACTCCTCCTCGCCTGCAGCACTGCTCCCAGGTGACAAGGGACCAGTGGTGACACCTGCTCCTGCCCCAGGAGCCCATAGCCACCCTGCTGCAGGCAGCAGTCTCCCACAGCCCCAGGGGCACAACAAGCACCAGGCAGCACAAGTTCTCCTGGAAGCTGCATATGAGAAGCGCTAGTGTTATTTCTGCTCTTTTTTCCCCTTTTTTGCCAACTCTGGCACGTGCGGTGAGGCAGGGATGGGGCAGCGCATCAACACCCCTGGCACTCCAGCCTGGCAGCTGCTGTGAGCACCACGGCAGCGTGCTGTGGGCCCCACGCCAGCTGCCACCACCCCTTTCGATGAGTTGCCACTCAAACGTGCCGGAGTTCAGGGTTAAATTCAGTGGTGCCAGATTTGGGAACTGAAAAGCAGATTTTCGCGGCTGCGGGAGCACAAGCGTCTCAGCTGATCGCAAGGGTTCTGTTTGCGTTGCCAGAGCAGCGGCAACAGGGGAGAGCCACGCTGAGCCACTCCGCACCTCCGGCTCTGAATTAGCCCTTTTTCTAGACATAGCCCTAATCCCTCCTGACATGCTCCTCCTGCACGCTGCCATGGGGCACAGGGTGGGCGCAGCGGCTGGGACCCCCAACATGTCCTGCAGAGCCAGCATGGGATGTGCTGTCCCCCAGAACACGAGGCCCCAGCAAGGGCACAATGTGGGGCAGGGCAGCACCGTGCGGGAGGGAGCTGGAGCGTCCCCGCTCCATCCCCATTGCTAATCCCTCCTGACATGCTCCTCCTGCACGCTGCCATGGGGCACAGGGTGGGCGCAGCGGCTGGGACCCCCAACATGTCCTGCAGAGCCAGCATGGGATGTGCTGTCCCCCAGAACACGAGGCCCCAGCAAGGGCACAATGTGGGGCAGGGCAGCACCGTGCGGGAGGGAGCTGGAGCGTCCCCGCTCCATCCCCATTGCCCAGTACCCGCGGGTACCTGGTTTGCTGGTGCTCATGCACAGGAGGCAGGGCACGATCCTGTTTTGGGGGCAGGTCATGCCAATGCCGTCCCTTGCGCTCATGTCCCTGCGTGAAAAACATGCCTCGTGCTCAGCACCGCACCTCCCGTGCTGCAGGGGACAAACACAGAACCAAC